GGGGGGGGGCTGTCATTTTGGCAAAGGATTGATGCATGAGCTGAGACGTGTAAAACTCCATTGACAATATCGCGGCCATGCGTCCGGCTCGTGGCGTGGCGAGGGTGGCGAGGGTGGCGAGGGTGGCGGTGGTGGCAAAGCAGCAGTGCGGGCGCGGGCAAGCGTGTGGTGGTAGCCGCGGCCGCGTCGTGGGCAGGGGCCGGGCAGGGGCCGGGAAAGCTTCTAAGGAGGAAGAGCCATCATCACATCGATTGCCGCGGCCCCTGGCCTCCGCGGCTCGCGGGTGCGGGCTCGGCTGCGAGGTGTGGCGTGGTGCGGGCGCCGCTAGCCAGGGGGGCCGCCGCACCTCCGGTGCACTCAGTCCGCCGGAGTGCCTGTCCCGGGATGAGCGCCGCGGACGCCGGCCGACAACACTACGTCGCCGTCGTGCGGCCCGGGTCACCGCCGCTGCCGCCGCCGCTCTACGCCGAGCCTGACGCCGCGGCCGCGGACGCCGCCGGTCGACGTCCTCTGGTCGCGTGTCGCGGGCCTCGCGAGTCACCGCGCAGGACGTGCGTGACGTCACGTCCACTCACTCACGTGACCGGGGCGAGGAGCGGAGCCGGCGCGGTGGAGGGACACTTGCGGTTGATTGACGACGTAGTCGTGGCCGCGGAGCCCGTCGCGCCGGAAGCATAAGGGGGAGGGAGAGCGAGTGGGGCCTACAAAGCACCTCACCGTCGACGAGCAGGTCGCGCTCCGCAAACGATAGGCTACCCCGAGGCCACCGTCGAGGTCGCCGTCGAGGTCGCCGTCGGGGCCACCGTCGGGGCCGTCGTCCGAGGCCACAGTCTAGGCCACCGTCTTGGGCAACGTCGAGGCCACCGTCGAGGCCGCCGTCGAGGCAGCTGTTGAGGCCACCGCGTCGAGGCCGCCGTTGAGGTCGCCGTTTAGACCACCGTTTAGGCCGCCGTCGAGGCCACCGTTGGGGGGTCCGCCATCGAGACCGCCCTCAGCCATACAGTCGCTCCGAGTCGCTCAGTATGTTTGTGTTTTTCTCTCCCCCCCCCTCCTCTTTCCCCTGCCCCTTTAACTCTGCCCGATCAGCACTGTTGCATTAGGCGCGCGGCCCCGGCCCGGCGCGCACCGAGGTGACAGGTACACACCACTATTTGCTCGGGCCGGGCCGAGCCGGGGCGTCGCGCACCAATTATTGGTCTCTCTCGGGCGAGAGCGTGTTAGAAAGAACGATATATCATGACAGCCCGGGGCCGGGCCGACTGAGCCGAGCGCCCCCAGGTGCGCCTCGCGGGCGGGGTGGCGGGGCCGCGACCCGGGACACACACACGCACACACACATACACACAGAAACAACAAACACAATTCGTATCATACAGACGAAACAAAAAAAAGTTAGAAGGCGTTGTTTTCTTGTGCCTGCCTCTTTGCGGGGGAGTTCGCGCGCAAAAGTTTGGAGAGCCCACAAGAAAAATATTTTGACGGCGTGCCAACGGCCCATTACCTTTTTCCTATGGGAGCGGTGAAAGGTGAGGAGGGAAAGAGAGCCTTCCCCTGTGCGGGGTTAGGAGGAGGTTGGGGGGGGGGGGGCTGATGTGGCGGAAACGGGGACCTACATTAGCACTGCCGCACCAAAGTACCCGTGTGTAAACAGACGCAGCTCGCCGCGCCCCGCGCCCACCGCCTTCGCCCTGCCTCCTCACCCCGCTTTACCGGCGGTGCCCTTCTTTGACTCACTCACTGACGGCCGCCTGCCCAACCAGATGCCTTCGTCCTGTCGCCTCTAGGTTGTGGGTCCTGCAAACTGCAGTAGCAGCAGCAGCCAGAGACGCTCGCTCGCTGCAACTTTGGACGGGTAAACGTGGAAGAGAGAACGCGCGCGAAGCCCCCGACTACTGAAAATAGCAGCCGCCAGAAAGACCGGGGGGAAGGCGGCGAAGAGATAGATGGTCTGTGCGTGACTCAGTTTTCATCTTCGCAAGCCACACACTCTCCGTTAAATTGCTACACGCCATTAGCGACCGAGTACCCCCCCCCCCCCTCCTACCGTCGGAGTCTTCGCCTTTTGCGCGGTTGTGTGGAATAAACTTTTCATTGCCAGGTCGCTTTTATAAAACTGCTCGTGTTCCCTCGTCCAAGAAACTGGCCTGTCGGCAAAAGACTCACGGCCGCGGCGGCGGGCCGCGCTGTGTTTGTATGCTAGGTACGCCCCGAGACAATGCCGGGGTGCTCCAGGTGCACGCCATCAACGCGGCTGCCTCGGGTGTCTCACAACACCGAGACCACGACCACGGCATGTAGGCCGCCCTGGGCTGCTTCACCCTCCACCCCTTTGCATTCCTCCGCCACCCCGCGCGACTGCCTCCCCTCCCTCCCCTCCCCTTCCTCCCTCCCCTCGCACCTCCTCGCTCCCCTGCGCCGCGCCACCCGCTACCCGTGTTCCCTCGTGTCGACTGCGACCCTCCGACCCTCAACGCCGTTTGTTCTTTGGTTCGCAGGTGCCGCCCGGGGCCGTACGCGGGGAGCGTCTGTCGGTTCGCCGCGTCCCGAGCGCGAGCCGAAGCCGCGTGCCGAGCGTGCCGAGCGCGCTCGGCCCGACCTGTGCGCACGCGCGGCGTGGCGCGGCGCGGCCCGGCCCTCCCCCTCTCCACCCCTCCGCCTGGCGCTGCCGCGCTAGGCGCTACCGTCCCCCATGGACCCCAGTACTCTCGCCGCCATGGACAAGGACGCGCTGAAGAAGCAGATCGAGAACATGAAGTACCAGGCCACGATGGAGCGCTGGCCGCTGTCCAGAAGCATTGCAGCGTGAGTACCCGAGACATTATCGATTACGTGCCGTGCTGGGCCGTGCAGGGCCGCGCCCGGCCTCCGCCAGGTCGCTATCCGTGTGTAGCAGGGCGGCACGGGACGCGACGCGGCGGGACGGAGGGACCCTGTGACGGCTGGCCGCCGCCGCCGCGACTCGCAAGGATGAGCCGCGGGGGCGTGGCGGCGCGGGCTGGGGAGGGAG